ATTTTATTTTATTTTTACATTTTTATTTATTATTACCATATTCACTTTTACAAATCGTGAAATTTCTTTATGCCCTTTGCCCAACCTATCATTTCCCAGACCCCCTCCCTCCCCCCACTCCAATCTCTACTATCCTTACGTTTGTTCTCTCCTTCTGAAAGTTCAATGTATTGTTGTGGTCTTTTCCTTCTTTTTCTTTCTTTCTTTCCTTCATTCCTTCCCTCTCTCCGTCCCCTCCCTTTCCTCCCTTCCTAGCAGCAAGTTATGAGTGAGAACATGCATTATTTCTGTTTCTTTGTCTAGCTTATTTCACTTAACATAATTTTTTCCAGACTGATCCGTGCTGTTGGAAATGGCAGAATTTCATTCTTTTTTATGGCTGAGTAGTACCCCATTGTGTATATATACCACATTTTCCTTATCCAGTCGGCTGTCGATGGACACTTGGGTTGGTTCCATATTTTGGCTATTGTAAATAGAGCTGCCATGAACATGGGAGTGCAGGTATCCCTTCAACATGATGATNATTACTAATTGCAGTAGGTTTTTAAAAGAAAAACAATTAATTTCTCAGATAATATCAGTTTTTTACAGTAAAGTTAGGAAATACAGAGAAACAGAAGAAAGTAAAAATCATTCAAAATCCCACTGCACACATATTACACCAAAATGTTAACTAATGATTTTTATGCCTTCAGCCATTTGTTTTTCTTTTCTTTTTTTTCTTTTTGTGATTGGCTGGTATAGGGATGGAACCCTAGACTTTTAATTTTTTTTATTTTAATTTTATTTTATTTTTACATTTTTATTTATTATTACCATATTCACTTTTACAAATCGTGAAATTTCTTTTTTTTTTTTTTTGTCCTTTTTGAGACCTGCTGCACCGCGCTCAGCCAGTGAGCGCTGTGAGCACACCGGTCATCCCTATATAGGATCTGTACTCGCGGCGGGAGCGCTGCTGCGCTCCCAGCGCCGCACTCTCCCGAGTGCGCCACGGGCTCGGCCCAAATCGTGAAATTTCTTTATGCCCTTTGCCTAACCTATCACTTCCCAGACCCCCTCCCTCCCCCCACTCCAATCTCTACTATCCTTACGTTTGTTCTCTCCTTCTGAAAGTTCAATGTATTGTTGTGGTCTTTTTCTTTCTTCCTTCCTTCCTTCCTTCCTTCCTTCCTTCCTTCCTTCCTTCCTTCCTTCCTTCCTTCCTTCCTTCCTTCCTTCCTTCCCTTCTTCCCTCCTTCCCTCCTTCCCTCCTTCCTAAGTAATTCAGTTTAACTGGAAAGATGATGTCTGCATGGAATGGGGATGATCTAAAGAAGTGGTAAACTTAATTTCTTTTTTTAATTGAAATAATTTTAAACTTAAATAAAAATTGCAAGAATACTTCAAATGGCATTTTTATTTATAAAAATATGATGCTCATCACCTCTAAATATTAGTGCCTATTTTCTACATCAAAGACACTCTCCTACATTACCACAGCAGAATAGGAAATCAGGTTTTGCTCTTGCAGACAATACTGCAAAAAATATTCTTAAATTTGTGTCTTAGATCACATGTATGTGTATATATGTTGAATACATTTTTGGAAGTGAAATTGCTCAGTCAAAAAGCATGTGCATTTCAAAATCTGATAAATTAAGATACTACTAAATTTGATTTATGATATTGTTAAATTACAATCCAAAGAAGTTGCCCCAATTTAGACCCCTGTCATCTGTGTGTAAAAATATGTTTCCTTATAACTTTACTAATTTATCGAAGTTTTAACATATTATATATTTATCATCAAAAATAGCAACTATTCACTTGTGTATCTTCAGAGCATGCAGTAGGACCTGGCATACAGCAGGTGTTCAGTAGGTGGTTTGATAAATGAATATATTGCTTAACTAAAAAATTTTAAACTCTGAGTGAGACTGAACATCTTTCAAAAGCTCAGAGTGTTTTAAAATTCTTTTTTAGTGAAATGACTGTTAACATTCTTACTCATTTCCTATTTGGTTGTTGGCCTTTTATTCTTGTTGGGTCATAAGAGGTATTTGTGCATTAAGGAAATTAACTCCTTTTCTGTTAGATTGGTTAAGGTATTTGTTATTTATTCCCAGTTTGCCCTTTATCCTTTCAGTTTTGAGTTTTTTGTTTTTTGGGGTTTTTTTTTTTGTTTTTTGTTTTTTTTTTTTTTTTTTCTATCTGTAGTTGTTTGAGAAACCTCCATACTGTTTTCCATAATGGCTGTGCTAATTTACATTCCCACTAACAGTGTAGAAGAGTTCTTCTTTCTCTGCATCCTCGCCATCATTTGTTATTCTCGGTCTTTTTAATAATGGCCAGTCTAACTAGGGTGAGATGATATCACAATGTGATTTGGATTTGCATTTTTCTGGTGACTAGTGATGCTGAGCATTTTTTCATGTATCTGTTGGCCATTTGTATGTCTTCCTTTGAAAAATGTCTATTCATCTCCTTTGCCCATTTTTTTTTTTTTTTTAAAGATGACCGGTAAGGGGATCTTAACCTTTGACTTGGTGTTGTCAGAACCACGCTCAGCCAGCGAGCGAACCAGCCATCCGTATATGGGATCTGAACCCGGGGCCTTGGTGTTATCAGCACCACACTCTCCCGAGTGAGCCACGGGCCGGCCTCCTTTGCCCATTTTTTAATTAGATTATTTCTTTTTTTACTGTATAGTTGTTTGAATTCTTTTTATATTCTGGATATTAATCCCTCATTGGATGTATAGTTTGCAAATGTTTTCTCCCATGCTGTAGGTTGTCTTTCCACTCTGTTGATTTGTCTTCTTTGCTGTGCAGAAGCTTTTTAGTTTGACATAATCCCATTTATTTTTTCTTTTGTTGCTTGTGCTTTTTCGGTCTTATTCATGAAGTCTTTGCCCAGTCCTATTACCTAGAGTGTTTCCCCTGTATTTTCCTTTAGTAATTTTATGGTTTTAGGTCTTATATTTGTCTTTAATCCATTTTGAGTTGATTTTGGTATATGGTGAGAGGTATAGGTCCAGTTTGATTTTTCTACATATGGCTGTCCAATTTTTTCAGCACCATTTATTGAAGAGGCTGTCTTTCCCCCAATGTATGTTCTTGCTGCTTTCGTCAAAGATCAATTGGGTCTAAGTATGTGGGTTGATTTCTGGGTTTTCTATTATGTTTCATTGGTCCGAGTGTGTCTTTTTATGCCAGTACCGTGCTGTTTTGGTTACAATAGCTTTGTAATATAATTTGAAGTTGGATAGTTTTATGCCTCTGGCTTCATTTTTTCTGCTTAGGATTGCTTTGGTTATTTGGGGTCTTTTGTTGTTCCATGTGAAAGTTTGGATTGATTTTTCTATTTCTGTGAAGAACGTTGTTGGTATTTTGATGGGGGTTGCGTTTAATCTGTAGATTGTTTTGAGTAGAATGGACATTTTCATGATGTTGCTTCTTCCCATCCAAGATTCCTAGGTATTTTATTTTTTAAATTGATTTATTTTTAAATTGATACCTAGGTATTTTATTTTTTTGGTGACTATTGTAAATGGCTTTGCTTTCTTGATTTCATTTTCTTTTTTTTTTTTTTTTTTTTGTCTTTTGTCTTTTTTCCGTGTCCGGCAACGGATCGCAACCCTCAGTGTTGCCCCCGTACCGGACCGGGGACCGGCAACGGGATCGCAAGCCTCGGCGTTGCTCCCGCGCCTCGCTCAGCCAGTGAGCGGGAATAAAAATGCTGTTGATTTTGGGGTGTTGATTTTGTATCCTGCAACGTTACTGAAATTGTTAATCAGCTGTAAGAGTTTTTTGGTAAAGTGTATAGGTTTTTCTATATATAAGATCATGTTGTCAGTAAGCAAGGACAGTTTGACCTTGTCCTCTCCAGTCTGGATGCCCTTTATTTCTTTCTCTTGTCTGATAGCTCTGGCTAGTTCTTCCAATACTCTGTTAAATAGGAGCAGTAAAAGTTGACATCCTTGTATTGTTCCTTTTCCATTCAGGATGATATTGGCAATTGGTTTGTCATAAATGGCTTTTATTGTATTGACATAATTTTCTGGCAAGTACAGGGATTGAACCCTAGGCTTTTTAAAACGTGAAAAAACTGGATCACAGTGAACATTCTCTTTTGTAAGCTGCATTTTAAACTTAGTTATGTCATGAGCACCTTCCTATGTCAATGAATATACTTCTACAACATTATTTTTAGCATCATCATTTTATTCTAGTCATGAGGCTATTTGTGGCACACTGGTGTATTTGTACAGCTACCTTATAAAAGTTTTTACATTACTCTTTATTATTTGGTGCATGAGTAATGTCTGACAATTGTAAGGTATCTATTTATTCATAAATATGTTAGAATTTAAAAATAACTACCTGAAACAAAGAAATCTTTTTTTTTTTTTTTAAAGATGACCGGTAAGGGGCTCTTAACCCTTGACTTGGTGTTGTCAGCACCACACTCACCCAGTGAGCTAACCGGTTAATTGCATAATCTCTCTGACAGTGGAAAATAGGGAAGATTTTACTTTGTATTTTGCTGTTTTTCTAAGTTTTCTTTGTTCAACCTGTCTTCCTGGTCATAATCTGTGGGACTCTGTGGTTATGTGTCAGACTAGTGGAAGTAAATTTCCTGTTTTGGCAACTACTGTAGAAAGCTTGGTGATTTCCACTTCTTCCTCTGGTTAGCTTTATCTCCTTTTTTTTCTTTCCTCTAATAGTAAGTGATTTGGACAGCTTTGTTTACCCTTTACTCCTCACTCCAGGATTGTTTTCCCTTTTGACTGCTTTTTTCCAGTGCTACGTACCTTATTACAGGTATATGAATAATGCAGGCCGAAACCAAGGATTTCAGTCACATTTTCTCTGGGGTGTAAATTCTAGTCATCTGGCTATGGCAGCCTAGAGAACTGCGAGGACAAGAATTCTAAGAACAAGTTTTGAGTGTGGGGAGAAAGAAGACTGTGGTCAATTATTATTATCATAAACCCAGAATAGTGGTGTGCTGGCATGCAAGCCAGATTTCTGGTATTTGTATTCCAGACTTTTATAAGGAAGGAAATCACAGGGACACAGAATAAATGTTGAGAACAGATTTGGAAATGTTTTGTTTTACTCTCATTCCATCCTACTTCAGAATATTCTTGATCTAGAATCATTTTCTGGACTTCTAGTCTCAATAATTCTTATCATAAAAAATCTTTTAAATGTTTTTCTAAATTTCTAAATATATTTTTTTCCCTCTTGCCTCTAGAACCTTGTTTCTTTTAGGAATCAGAATTCAAGCCATCTAGTCCATAATGGGACAACTCTCCCCTTTATTTATGGTTAGTTTCCTCCTGCAGATGTCACTATAATACAGTTAGGTACAGGAATGCTTAGTTATACTGCCATGCAATGTGTGCATTGATTCCTTCTTGTCATTTCCACTTTTCTGTTGTAGAACTTGCTCGTGAATTCCAGTTGTCTGTGTGGGTGTCTTCCTCTGTGTCTTCTGAGCTTTGAGTCTTTTGCTGCTGTAGAAGGTTTTGTGATCTGTGATTCACTAGACTGAACAGATTAGATTTCATCAGAATTCAAAGCATGAGTTTGTTTGGTTCCGAGACTCAGAAAACTCTTCTTGTGGATCATTGGTGAATTAGTTTTAATAGTTTCTTCTGAATCCTGGGGTCTCACTAAGTATTTTTCTCTTAGACCTGGGGAGCTCTTCCATGATATTTCCTGGAAGCTCCCCAACATAATATATGGGAAAAAAAGTTTAAGTGCAAGAAGAAGCCCTGTTAGGCTCTTTAAACATGCCATCTTATTTAATTTTTTTTAGTAATTCAGTGAGATTGGTATTATACTTATTTTACAGATGAAGAAACGTAGGCTCAGAAAGCCATTTACTCTGAATATGAGGTTTCTTGAAATTTTGGGAAATAAGCATCAGATACATCGTTAATAGCCTAGACACTTAGCTTGAGAAGTACCGGCAGGTTAAGCTGGATGCTGTTCCTCCTAACATTGGTAATTGTTTGTAAATGACCAGAAGTTGCCTCAA